AAAGTCCTGCAGCTCAGGGAGAAGGAAAATGGTACAAGACAATGCAAAGAGGTCAACGAGGCCAGATCACATCAGGCCCTATAGCTACAACAGAGTCTGGCTTTTATTCCAAAGAGTCTTGGAAGGGTCTGAGGCAGGGAAGTGATTCAGTCAAACAATTATCTTTAGAAGATCACTCTGGCTACAGTGTGAAAGAGAAATGAAGTGGGGCAAGAACAGAAATATAAGGAGACCAGTTTAGGAGGCTGTCACAGGGGTCCAGGCAACTGATAGTGGTCTGGAATGGGGCAGTGGGCAAGGAGAGAAATGGACTCAAGATATTCAGGAGAACAGGACTTGCTGAAGATTGGCTGTAGGCTGTGGGAGTGAGGGGGAGGGAGGTGTCCAGGAGAACTTCCAGCTTTCCAGCTTGAGCAAGTGGGTGGATGGTGGTGGCAGAGATGAGTTGGGGACACTGGAGGCAGAGCAGGTGCCAGCAGGCAGAGCTGGGGCCCTGGGTTTGGACCTGAGGCTGTGAGATATCTAAATGTGGCCCAGGAAGGTCTTGAGCCAGAAGGGATCATAAAGTCAAGAGAGTAATGGGAGTTGGGGAGGAGTGGGCAGTACAGTGAGAGGAGGGGCCAGGCAGCTCAGGAACACGGGCAGCAGCAGGGCCTGGGCGAGAAGTGACTAGGAGCTGTACGCTTGGAAAATCAGAATGACGAAATTCAAAGGTTACTTCTCTCCTCCCCCGGAAGGCATCTAGCTTGAGCTCCACCCCTCTCTGGCCAAGCATGATGCCTTGGCACAGGCGCTTTCCTGCCTAGCCAGCCCTCCCTTCCCCACACCTTCTTCCTCCTCAGCAAGCTCCAAGTCTTCCTTCAGCCCCAGCTCAGGTGGCCCCTCTTCCTGGTGAAAATGCCCCTGGTCCAGGCATGCACTCTGCAGTCTGACAACCTGGGTTTGAGTTCCAGCTCTGCTACTTTTAGCAGAGCTGTGTGACTTTGGCCCAGACACTTAACCTTACTTCCCTCATCTGTACAATGGAAATAATTGTACCTACCTCACAGGGCTGTTGGAAGAGGAACATGTAAAGCGCTTAGCAGAAAACCTCGCACACAGTAAGAACTAAATAAATGTTACTATTCTTAACATCCCACCCACCTTGGGACAGTTAGTCATGCCCTCCACCTTATACCTCCTCCACTCGGGCACTATTTGCAGGTCTGTGTTTCTCCCTGCCTCTTCTTACCCTTATCCAGTTTGTGGGGCTATATAATATGTAGGGACCAGGGCTACAAGAAAATGCAGGGTCTCTTGTTCAAAATTATTAAGAATTTCAAGATGGTGACAGCAGAACATTAAACCAAGTGTGGAGTCCTTCTAAGTGCAGGGCAACCATACTCATGAAACCATTCCCGCCTGCAGCCCTGGGCCAGCCCTGCATCTGGGCCTGGCGCAGAGTGGGTGTCAGCCCCCATGCAATAGAATAAAAATGCCAACCCACATTGAGATAGGGTTTTGTAACTTCCATCTGGAATTTCATTTTCTCCTTCCCATAGAGAGATAACATTAACCCCATTTTATAGTTGAAAACACTGAAATTCAGAGACAAGGTATGCCTTGCCAGAGGTCACCCACCTCACGAATTGCTGAAATGGGATGTGAACATAGGCCAGCCTGGTGCCAAAGGCCTGCCTTGCCCTCTGACTCCCAGGAGAGGTCTGGAGAACCTGGCCCCAAGGGATGAACTTCGTCAACAAGGCCCAGAGAGAGGGAGCTGGAAGGACTGGGACTGGCCCCCTCCCTCCTGGGGCAAGCCACATAAACAACCGGATCCCCAGGCACCAGGGCTGCTGCACAGGGAAGGGGTGTGAGAGGGCAAAAGGTCACACCTGAGAAGGTGTTGCCCGAAGGCCCAGACTGCTGCCCACACTCCTGAGTGTCTGTTAGACCAGGGAGGTGTGGCCTGGCTGCACAGTCACCTGCATGCTCTCTACCAGCTCTCCACCACTGCTCCCCACCCCCAACCCCCGCTCCCAGCACCAGGACTGTTCCCACCATCACCAAGGCCTTAGCGCACACACTCCCCTTTCCTCATCTCTTCTTTGCCTCCTCAACTCCTTGTCACCCCAGGCTCCCTGAATCCCTCCTTTCAACACAAGTCACTTGCATTATTACCTGCTCAGGCCATCTCCCGGCTCTAGTACAGGCTCCGTGGAGGCAGGGGCTTCCTGGCTTACACAGCTGGGTACATCAGGTGTCTAAATGCATTCTCCCGAGGGCCCTGCATGCTTTCTGCCTTTGTCCTCACTCCTCACTGACCCTCCTTTTCTTGTCCAGGCATCTTGGGCTCAAGGTGCAAGAAGCCCAGACTTGCAAAGGGAAGAGAATCATTGTCCAGTATGCCCCCTCCACCTGCCAGCTCTGGGCTGGGTGCTGTACCTCCAGTTACTGCATTTAATCCCCTCAGCACCTTCCACATGGGGGTGTGATTACTCTGATCTTCCAGAGGAGTTTGAGACCACCAGCTTGAGGTGGTGACATAGCCTGGAAATGGAGGGTGTGGGATCTGAACCCAGGTTCGTCTGATGCCCATGTACCGCTCTGCTCCTGTGACTCACTGTTCCCAGCCAGCTCACCTCCAACCAGAGAGCACCTGTTTCTCACCCATGCCTTCAGCTCACACACACCCAAGGCAGCACCGCTCCTCTGTCGGGTCAGCAAAACATCACTGTGGTAGAAGGCTTCACTGTCAGCAAGAGGCCAGCATAGAAACACCCCTCCCCTGGATCAACCAAATGCCCATATGGGAGAAAAGCCCCTCATGTTAGCTAAACATGAATGGGGGAGGCACCCCCGTTGTCAGCAAAATGCTTGTACAGGAGACACACACATCTACTCCAAGTCAGCAAAAGGTCAGTGTGAGAGACACCTCCCTACACCCCCTGAGGCCCATGGCTTAGGCTGTGGGTGCACAGATGGAATCCTTTGAGGTGGCACTCAGGGGGCAGGGTGAGGGAGGCAATGGGGCTGTGGCTGTGCTGGCTGCAGAGTGGGGGAGTGTTGGGTGAGAGTTCTCACATGGCACTAATGAAATCAACCACCAGCCTGCCCCCTCTCCCCAGGGACCCTCCAGGCTCCAGCTGATGCAATGCCCAGGCCAGATAATTGTTTTCTTCCCTCCTTAAAGGGCCAGCTGCTGTTGCAGCTGCAGACAACACCCAGACCCCTGAGAGACCCCCCCAAAGCTTATCACCCAGTTAAGGATAAGGGGAGCCTAGAAAGTAGCAGCTCAGTCCTGAGCTCTGCGGTGTAAAATCCAGTTAATGTCCAGAGACCAGAAGTGTCTGTGAGCAAGGAGGGAGGGAGAGAGAACAGCTGAGATGGAGACAGTGCCTGGCCAAGAGACCACATGCCCCAAGGAAAGGGACCTTGATCCTGGCTGGGTTCTTAGCACCTGGCTCCTGCCTGCCTGTCCTGTCAAGTCCCTGGCACAGGGGTTGCTTGTGAGTTCAGCAGTCATCTACTGAGCTCCCCGAGTGCTAGGTACTGGGCTAAGCAGCTCAAATCCACCATTTCATTTACTCCTCCCAGCAGACCTAGAAGATGGGCCTGTTTTCCTGAAGGAGGCTCAGAGACAGGAGGTGATTTCCTCAATAGCAAACAGCCAGCAAGTGGCAGAGCCTGGGTTTGAAGCCAAGTTTGCCCAACTCTGGGCTTCAAACCCTGCAGACGGTTGGGTAGGTGTCAAATACCAGGCCTGGAGGTCCCTATGCCAAGCTGCCTGGCACAGAGGGCAGGGAAGGGGTCTGTGGGCCCCAAACAGGCTCTGAAGGGCCTGGTGCTTTGTTTCAGCAGCAGGTTTCACAGACCCCTCCCTTCCCTCACTCCCACCAGAGAATGCCCCATTAGGCTGCCCATATGCCCCCAGGGACAGTTGGCAGCTGCCTGATTACAGACTAATTGGTGGCTGGCAGCTACTGTGGGGGACTGGCTAGTTAACCCCTTAGTGACCAGACCTAGTCCAGAAAGGCCATCTCCCCACCACTTCAGACCCCAAACCCAAGGATCTTAAACTCAAGAAGCCATCATGGGCAGAGGGCAGGACCAAAGGGGCAGCAGCCTTTCTTGCCACACCCAGACCACACCCCTGGGGCTGGGGCTGGACATTTGCATTGGCTCCCTAGCCTTGAAGGGCCACATGCCAGCCAGTGCCCCTTATTCTCTGGACCTGGGAATGGCATTGCCATCCCATCCAGGACCACAGGAGCTATGAGCTTGCCCGGGATACTGGGATGAAACCCCACTCTTCAAGGCTGGGTTGTCCAGAGGAGGTGATGTGGGCATGGGTCCACCAGGCAGCCTGGAGACCAACCAGTGAAGATACTCTCGACCTGAATGAAAGGGTGCCTGGGCTGCCCATGAGTCTTGCCTGAACCCTGACTCCCCACCGTTGATTAACCAACTGCCTTTCCCAACTTCCCCAAAGCCCCCTCTTCCCACCCTAGGGCTGGAGTGAGCACCACCCCTTTTTCTTTCATGGTGTGGAGGGGGTCGTCTGGGCGCAACAGTAGTGTCTCATTGGGAGAAAAAAGTGGCTGCTTCTCAACCAGGGCACAGGCAGGAGGGAGAAAGCAGGCTGCCTTCCAGCTCCCTTTCCAGGAGGGCTTTGAAGCACTTTCCAAAATGCCATTCCAGGCAATGCTGTTGAAGACTAGGGCCCCAGGTTCTCTGAGCGTCAGCAAAGAACTCAAGACTCCGGGGCCCCCTACCCCATTTTCCAGGCTTCCCTAAACACCCCATGTTCCCCTCTCATATCCCCCCCACCCCAGAGCTATCACACACACGCACTGCTCATCCCGCGGGCCCCGGCTTCCCCAGACCCTGCACACTCAAATCCGTACCGGCGCCTAACGGTTGGAGCCCCCTCCCGCCCCCCTACGCCGCCCCGTGGTCCCCAGACTTCTGCAGCCCCCTCCCCACGTCCACTTCCAGGCGAGCCAGGCCTACCGACTTACCTGGAGGTGGAGCCGGAGTCCAGACAGGAAGGGGGTCTACGCCCGGCGAGGCGATTCAGCAAGGCGGGGCAGGTGCTGCCCCGGGACCCCGCCCCGCGGACCCGGCGGTAGGTGCGGCCCGGGCCCAGGCGGGCTGCGGACTCCGAGGGAGTGGGGGCGCGGGGCGGGGAGCGGGGCGAGAGAGCTCACGGGGGCATCGCCCGCCACCGGCCAGGGCAGCTCCGCTCTACCAGCCTGCGCGGCCGGGTCCGCAGCCGCCACGGTCCTCAGCCTCCGCCGGGTGCAAAGCCCAAGCCCTGGCTGGCGGGAGGCGAAGAGGGAGGCGGGGCCTCGGCTTGGAGGGCGGAGTCGTGGGGGCGGGGCCTATGGGGCAGGGCCTCTGGTGGTGGGCAGGGCCTCTGGTGGTGGGCGGGGCCTAGGGAACTGGGTGGGTCTGGCTTTGCCTGGTTGGGGGCGACCCACGCTGGCCTCGAAGGGGCGGAGTCTAGAGGGTGCCTCGAACCTCTCTGTAAGTCCCCAAGACACTCCTGCCTCAGGCCTTATCTTCATCTCGCCTCTATCTATTCTTTCTCATCCTTCTCTTTAGGGCCTTCCTAGGACCTCCCCGGCATCCTGGTACCCCTACCCGACCCTGGGCGGGATCCAGGAAGGTCGGATGGTGAGAGAAAGGGGAAATGACTTACAGACATCAAATCCCGTTTACAGATGGAAAAACTTAAGTCCAGAGAGAAAAGACTTGCCCAAATGGTTGCTATGAAAAAGACTTTATAATATCCCTTTCAGACCCGGCAGGGGAACAGAGAGTGTCTTGCCCTGAAACCCAAATGAAACTCCCTCCCCTGCTATCTCTACTCCGAAAGCAGTGATTTTCAATTTGGGGCAATTTTGTCCCCCAGGGAACATTTGACAGTATGTGGCGACATTGTAGGTTTTCACAACTGGGATTTGCTACTGGGGTCTGGTGAGAAGAGCCTAGAGGTGCTGCTGAACATCTGAAAACGCACAGGACCCCGCACATTACAGAAGGATCAGTCCCAAAATGTCAACAGTGTCCAGGGGGAGAAACCCTGCTCTCAGACCTAAGTGAACTGCAAGCCTGCTTCCGTCCTGGGTTCCTCAGCAGCCTGGGACCTGAGGAAGATGCTGTGGGAAGTCTCTCCCAGGTCATGCCTGCCCCCAAATTGCTGTGTTTAGCCTCGCTTAGCTGGTCACTTCCACTCTGGGGCTCCGATGTTCTTAATTCCACTCATTCACGGAGGGGACAATATTACTAGTATTTGCCTTCCTAGTTGTTGCTGGAGGCAGGCAAAACAAGTAGTCTTTGCTGAAGGCATGGATTAAAATGTAATGGGGAGTGGGAAGATGTGGGGGTGTAGAGAAAATGGACATTCCTATGGCTAGGATTCTCACCTGACCCTGGTCACTTGCTCACGGCACACATGAGGGCAATATGTTATTACTGACTCTGTAAAAAGAGCTCTGCCAGGTGCTCTCTGGACTGCACAGCTGCAGGAGAGCAGAGGCTGGAGTGGTGGCAGAGCCTAGTGCAGGGACTGATGGCTTCAGGGGCAGAGAGGCCTGGAGGCAGAGAACGGCTTGCTGTGTGCAGATTTGCCCTGAGGCAGATGGGATTCCAGAGCTTGACCTGCCACGTGAGAATAAGACTGGGTATAAATGCTTTTGCCCCAAAAACGTTTCATTGTCATTTTTAGGTCTCACTGAATCAACAGTGAACTTGCCTGGGGCTGAAACCCCATCGACAAGACACGAGGAAAGGAAAATTATTGGGATTAAATGATCCTCCTGGGGATAGCTGGCTGTATCTTCTACATATCCTTCACCTATCTCATCCCTTCTCACCTGGTCTGTGAAAAGGGTAAATTGAGACCCAGCAATGTGGAGAGCCTGAAACTGGGTCCCACAACTGGCCAGAGGTGTAGCTGGGACTCAGTTTTACTCATTAACTAAACTTTTGTTAACATCTATTTTATATCAACCTAGAGCTAGGGTCTGTGCCCTAGAATGATTGCTGTGGAGTAGCAAAGGGGATTAGATTGGGGAGACGAAGTGGCTGGAACAATGGTGGAGCTGAAGGATGGAGAGAGCAGAGCCCATAAGATGTAGCGGAGAAGGGAGGAATCAAGGTTCCACTGTGCTCCTCCCATGCACCCTGTGGATAAAATGAAAGTTCCTGTGGCCAGGATTCTCACCTGGCCCTGGTTGGCTAGCTCACTGCACAGGTGTGGGCAATGTGTCATTATTGACTCTCTATAAAGAGCCCTGCCCACTGCTCTGGGTGACACGGTGGCATGGCTGCAAGGCTGCAGGAGAGCAGAGCAGAGGCTGGAGTGGTGGCAGTGCTGAGGACAGAGACTGGGATGGCTGTGCGGGCAGAGAGGCCCAGAGGCAGAGACCGGCTTGCTGCATGCAAAATTGCTCTGAGTAGATGGGATTCTAGTGAATGACCTGCCACCGTGGGAATAAAGTTGGGTATAACCCTTTCACCCCAAGAACGTTCTACTATCATTTCTTTGGTCACATTGAATACATAGTGAACTTGCCCGGGGCTGAAACCTATTGGCAAGACATGCCCCATCTCATAAACATGGAAACCAGAGGGTCCCTTTGCACATCTGATGAAAACTTGGACTTCGCCTCTGGAGAAATGTGCAAATGTACATTCTGCACATAATTTTAGGGACTCCACAGCTTCATTTTGGCTTTCTGAAGGATTGGATGGAAGGTTGATTCTTAGGTGCACAGAGAAGAATAAACATGCAGGAATAAAAAAGAAAAATTTGAAAAAAAGGAACAGAAAGGGATTTTGCCTTACCTAATATTAAAACATATTATAAAGTGAATGTATTTAAAGCAGTATGGTATTGAAGCAGGACTGCATGAATCAGTGGAACAAAATGGAATACAGAGAGGAGTCCAACTACACAAGGGAATTCGGTGTATGATGAAAACACCACACCAGGTAAACAGGGAAAATGTAAGACTTTCAATAAATGGATAGAAAAACTGGCGAGTCACCTGGGGATATAAAAGAAAGCTGTGTTCTTACCCTACGCCGAAACAAATTCCGGGTGAAGTACATTGTTAACTAACATCATTATGTTCCCGGAGAAAACATGAGTGAATGTTTTAATAATCTTGGAGGTGAAAAAGACTTTCTAAGCATAATGAAACCTGGAAGCTAAAGGGAAAACATCAATTATAAAAATTTGACTGTAAAAGTTTCTGTAGAGAAGAAATGATCACACTCAAGCTTGAAAGACAAATGACAAACCGGAAGAGATAAATCCCTTTTTCGCTTTACTCTTGCCCACTGTGGTCCGTCAGACCCTTCCCCAGGCCAAGAAGGGGGCAAGTAGGGTGGACTACTGTTACTGTGATCAAGGGTGAGCACTTCGCAGAGGCTCCTCCCACGGCGCCATGGCCAGTGCCCACCTGTTCAGAGGACGGGAAGCCCCGGAAATCCCAGCCTGGCCATCTGGGTCCACAGCAGGTGCCTTGGCACCGCGGAGCCAGAGTCCGTGCAGAGGCTACTCACTACTTCCCCCGTGTGGCTATCCTGGGAACTGCAATCCGCGGTACTTGGCTTGTGCAGTTTCCGACGGACGTTGTGCCCTTTTTTTTAAAAAATAAAAATAGCCAATTTTTGAGGGAACTAACAATGTTCCAGGCATTGCGTTAAACACTTACCATAGAGTATTTAATTTTCTCTTCAAAAGAACTCTTCTAGGTTGGCCCACTGTATTATCATTCCCAATTTGACAGATAAACAGACAGGATTTGAGAGAAGTGACTGGTCCAATCTCTAAACGGGGGCATCAGGATGCAACGCGCAACCACTGGCCCCATTCTTAATGTAAAAAAGCGAAGTCCTTGGAGAAATTCAATAAAACAAAGTTTCTTGAGGTGAACCTTGATTAAGGCCTTATACCAGGTTCTGGGGATTCAGAATTGAGAAAAATGACCAATAGGGAAAACAGGCAGAGAAACATTTCTGACGCAGTGAATCCTAGAAACACCAAATGACATATTAACCATAGGAAGAGGTGAGGGAAACAAGGGAGTCCCAAATGAGATACCCTTGAAGTTGAGTCTTGTGGAGTTTGAGGAAGGGATGAAGTCAGGCAGCACTTAACAAGCCTGGGAGAAGGACAGGCGGGATTTGGGTGCGGAGGAGTGGTCTACCTGCCCTGAGTCTGAGGTGGGTTGGAGATAAACCTGAACAAACACACCGGGACCAAGCTAGAATTTAGGCACAGAGAAGTTTGGGCACAAAGATTTTTAGAACTTTTCCATATTTCAGTTGACTTGGTTGAAGTAAAGCTCTTCTGCCAAACCAACCTGCCTCTTTCCTCCCAGAGATGCCCCACCTGGGTCTAAGGCATCTGTTGCCTAAGCCAGAAACCTGGGAGTCACTCTTGACTCCTCACCTCCATTATTATCAGGGCCTGATAATCTACCGCCTAAATGTCCCCCAGGTTCGTTTTTAGTTCTCTATCCCCACAACCACTACCTTCATTCACACTGCCTTCTTACTCCTGAACCCAGCTGCTTCCAGTGACCTGGTCTTACCACCTCCAAACTTTCACATAAGAGTAATCCTCCTAAAACAAATGTGACCACATCCCCTCTCCCACTGAAAACCTGTTTTATTGATCCATTCAACAAATGTGGAGCAAGTGTTAGATGTCAAACACTGAGGATACAACAATGAGCAAAACAGAATTTTAACCAACTGGGGTGGAAGGCATCAAACAAATGATAGCCCCTCACCATAATATATAAACTGTGATACATGCCATAGGGGGACCTGACCTAGTAAGGGGTGTCCTAGAATGCTCCCTGACATTTTCCATCTGAAGTTTGAATAGCAGTCAGCCAGATCAAAGTCCAGGATGGGGTGGCAGCCTATGCAAAAAATCCCTAAAGGTTTCCCTGAGGCTCAGTTTCCTCATCTATATCATGGGCATATTTGGACTGATGACGTTTAAATTAGTTAATATGTATAAAGTCCTTAGAACAGACAAAATTCAACATCCATTCATGATTAAAAACTCTCAACAAAATGGGTATAGAAGGCAAGTACCTCAACATAGTAAAGGCCATATAGGACAAACCCACAGCCAATGTCATACTTAACAGCAAGAAGCTGAAAGCTTTTCCTCTAAGATCAGGAACAAGACAAGGATGCCCACTCTCCCTGCTTTTATTGAACATAGTACTGGAGATCTAGCCACGGCAATCAGACAACACAAAAAAATAAAAGGCATCCAGATTGGCAAGAAA